GCCTTCTTTGGTTGATGCTCAGACTGTACGATTGATTGATTGATGTAGATTAAGCCACTCAAGAGGTGGCACGGGCATGAATAGCCCGTAAGTGGTAGATTTTTGTAGAGTGAATGTGATCTTTGGTCGTGAATCAGAATGAACGAAAGAAGTTCTCCTGCCTTAACAATGTAGCAGAGACATACGTATACATATGCATACCACGTTGTGTGGCCGAATACTCGGTAACTCCGTATACTCTGTGTTAAAACAGATAAAGACAATGTGTACTCCGCTCTTATTGTGACTTTATATGTAACTGATGAACAGTAATTATGATATGTAAACTTTGTGGCACAGACGAAAATATGTGCTGGTTAATTCTTTTTACCATGTCGTAGCTCAGTCGATTAAGGCAGCGTCTGAGATCCTCTCGGACGCAGGTTCGAAGCCTCGTCACGGCCCTTGTGGATTTGTTTATTTGATGCATCACGCTATTGTGATTCGTGTGTGCAATGTGCTGGTTGCATTGTTAAAACTCTTCAATCACCTGCGATTCAATGTTGAACAACTCGCAATGTATTGTAGCAGATCTCAAGCCCTACCTATGTATTCCTTGTATGTATAAGAACATAAGAACAAAGGTAACTGCAGAAGGCCTATTGGCCCATACGAGGCAGTATGTATTTATGTATGACAGCATTGTATAAATGTATGACAACCGTGACCGCTCAGACGTCTCTGACTCCTCTTGCGTGTATAATCAGCATTAAATTAAAAACAAAATTATGCTTCAAACACTTTTCTGTATCAGTGACTGAAATATATTATACGTAATGGAGGTTTTGAACTGTGGTAATCATTAGGATTGTCGGGGGGGGGGGGCTTGTAATCACCTGATCTCACCTGTCTTGTAATCACCTGATCTCACCTGTCTTGTAATCACCTCATCTCAGCTGTCTTGTAATCACCTAATCTCATCTGTCTTGTAATCACCTGATCTTCCTGTCTTGTAATCACCTGATCTCACCTGTCTTGTAATCACCTGATCTCACCTGTCTTGTAATCACCTGATCTCACCTGTCTTGTAATCACCTGATCTCACCTGTCTTGCAATCACCTGATCTCACCTGTCTTGTAATCACCTGATCTCACCTGTCATGTAATCACCTCATCTCACCTGTCTTGTAATCACCTCATCTCACCTGTCTTGTAATCACCTCATCTCACCTGTCTTGTAATCACCTCATCTCACCTGTCTTGTAATCACCTCACCTCACCTGTCTTGTAATCACCTCATCTCACCTGTCTTGTAATCACCTCATCTCACCTGTCTTGTAATCACCTCATCTCACCTGTCTTGTAATCACCTCATCTCACCTGTCTTGTAATCACCTCATCTCACCTGTCTTGTAATCACCTCATCTCACCTGTCTTGTAATCACCGCATCTCACCTGTCTTGTAATCACCTGATCTTCCTGTCATGTAATCACCTCATCTCACCTGTCTTGTAATCACCTCATCTCACTTGTCTTGTAATCACCTGATCTCACCTGTCATGTAATCACCTCATCTCACCTGTCTTGTAATCACCTCATCTCACCTGTCTTGTAATCACCTCATCTCACCTGTCTTGTAATCACCTCATCTCACCTGTCTTGTAATCACCTCATCTCACCTGTCTTGTAATCACCTCATCTCACCTGTCTTGTAATCACCTCATCTCACCTGTCTTGTAATCACCGCATCTCACCTGTCTTGTAATCACCTGATCTTCCTGTCATGTAATCACCTCATCTCACCTGTCTTGTAATCACCTCATCTCACCTGTCTTGTAATCACCTGATCTCACCTGTCATGTAATCACCTCATCTCACCTGTCTTGTAATCACCTGATCTCACCTGTCTTGTAATCACCTGATCTCACCTGTCTTGTAATCACCTCATCTCACCTGTCTTGTAATCACCTCATCTCACCTGTCTTGTAATCACCTCATCTCACCTGTCTTGTAATCACCTCATCTCACCTGTCTTGTAATCACCTCATCTCACCTGTCTTGTAATCACCTCATCTCACCTGTCTTGTAATCACCTCATCTCACCTGTCTTGTAATCACCTCATCTCACCTGTCTTGTAATCACCTCATCTCACCTGTCTTGTAATCACCTCATCTCACCTGTCTTGTAATCACCTCATCTCACCTGTCTTGTAATCACCTCATCTCACCTGTCTTGTAATCACCTCATCTCACCTGTCTTGTAATCACCTCATCTCACCTGTCTTGTAATCACCTCATCTCACCTGTCTTGTAATCACCTCATCTCACCTGTCTTGTAATCACCTCATCTCACCTGTCTTGCAATCACCTCATCTCACCTGTCTTGTAATCACCGCATCTCACCTGTCTTGTAATCACCTCATCTCACCTGTCTTGTAATTACCTCATCTCACCTGTCTTGTAATCACCTCATCTCACCTGTCTTGTAATCACCTCATCTCACCTGTCTCACTGACACTTACATTCAAGCCGAGATCTTTCGTGCTTAATACTGTGTATTTACCAATTATTATTATTGGCATTTTGCAATACACTTGGAAATTGGCCTGATATGATAGTTAACACATAGAAGTGAGCCTAATGTGGAGATTCAAAAATAGAATTGCGCTTACCCAACCACTTGGGCTGGACGGTAGAGCGACGCTTCCTGCAGGTCGGCGTTCAATCCCCGACCGTCCAAGTGGTTGGGCACCATTCCTTTCCTTCGTCCCATCCCAAATCCTTATCCCTATCCCCTCCCAGTGCTATATAGTCATAATGGCTTGGTGTTTTTCCCTGATAGTTCCCATCCCTTTTAAATTTTAATACTGATTAAAATTATGATTTATTGTTATTATTAGTAACATGGACAGAATAATTTCAACGAGGAGAAAGATGCTTAAGTGTCTGCTACATTGGATATTTGGGACCGTCACAAGGTGTGTGGGACCGTCACAAGGTGTGTGGGACCGTCACAAGGTGTGTGGGACCGTCACAAGGTGTGTGGGACCGTCACAAGGTGTGTGGGACCGTCACAAGGTGTGTGGGACCGTCACAAGGTGTGTGGGACGTCACAAGGCGTGTTGGACCGTCACAAGGCGTGTGGGACCGTCACACGGTGTGTGGGACCGTCACAAGGCGTGTGGGACCGTCACACGGTGTGTTGGACCGTCACAAGGTGTGTGGGACTGTCACAAGGTGTGTGGGACCGTCACACGGTGTGTTGGACCGTCACAAGGTGTGTGGGACTGTCACAAGGTGTGTGGGACCGTCACAAGGTGTGTGGGAGCGTCACAAGGCGTGTGGTGCCGTCACAAGGCGTGTGGGACCGTCACAAGGTGTGTGGGACCGTCACAAGGTGTGTGGGACCGTCACAAGGTGTGTGGGAGCGTCACAAGGCGTGTGGGAGCGTCACAAGGCGTGTGGGACCGTCACAAGGCGTGTGGGACCGTCACAAGGCGTGTGGGGAGCGTCACAAGGCGTGTGGGAGCGTCACAAGGTGTGTTGGACCGTCACAAGGTGTGTGGGACTGTCACAAGGTGTGTTGGACCGTCACAAGGTGTGTGGGACCGTCACAAGGTGTGTGGGACCGTCACAAGGTGTGTGGGACCGTCACAAGGTGTGTTGGACCGTCACAAGGCGTGTGGGACCGTCACAAGGTGTGTGGGACTGTCACAAGGTGTGTGGGACCGTCACAAGGTGTGTTGGACCGTCACAAGGTGTGTTGGACCGTCACAAGGCGTGTGGGACCGTCACAAGGTGTGTGGGACTGTCACAAGGTGTGTTGGACCGTCACAAGGTGTGTGGGAGCGTCACAAGGCGTGTGGTACCGTCACAAGGCGTGTGGGACCGTCACAAGGTGTGTGGGACCGTCACAAGGCGTGTGGGAGCGTCACAAGGCGTGTGGGAGCGTCACAAGGCGTGTGGGATCGTCACAAGGCGTGTGGGACCGTCACAAGGCGTGTGGGACCGTCACAAGGCGTGTGGGACCGTCACAAGGTGTGTGGGACCGTCACAAAGTGTGTGGGACCGTCACAAAGTGTGTGGGAGCGTCACAAGGCGTGTGGGACCGTCACAAGGTGTGTGGGACCGTCACAAATTGTGTGGGACCGTCACAAAGTGTGTGGGACCGTCACAATGCGTGTGGGACCGTCACAATACGTGTGGAACCGTCACAAGGCGTGTGGGACCGTCACAAGGCGTGTGGAACCATCACAAGGTGTGTGGGACCGTCACAAGGTGTGTGGGACCGTCACAAGGTGTGTGGGACCGTCACAAGGTGTGTGGGACCGTCACAAGGTGTGTGGGACCGTCACAAGGGACCGTCACAAGGTGTGTGGGACCGTCACAAGGGACCGTCACAAGGTGTGTGGGAACAGAACAAGCCGTGTAGGTACAATGGTATTTGGGCCTGAGGTTACAGGACCACAGGAAACAACGGAAGGAAAACCTCTTATATATACCTCTTATATAATGTAGAGGTATACTACAGAGTGTACTCTTGACGACATGAGAGGCTGACGGCTGCTGGTTCTGCTGCTGCTAAGGGGCCTCGTAGCCTGGTGGATAGCGCGCAGGACTCGTAATTCTGTGGCGCGGGTTCGATTCCCGCACGAGGCAGAAACAAATGGGCAAAGTTTCTTTCACCCTGAATGCCCCTGTTACCTAGCAGTAAATAGGTACCTGGGTGTTAGTCAGCTGTCACGGGCTGCTTCCTGGGGGTGGAGGCCTGGTCGAGGACCGGGCCGCGGGGACACTAAAAAAGCCCCGAAATCATCTCAAGATAACCTCAAGAATCTCAAGATGACTCTGTGGCTGCCCGCACCTGCGTACCGTGCAGCTAAACATTAAAGATAGGATCGAAACGTTGTCAGTTGCTCAGAAATGTTCTCGCGGCCTTCAGGCGCCTACGGGCTCACCATAGCCCGTGCTACTTGGAACTTTTTGTTCCGGGCAGCGAATCTTAAACAACAACAACAACATCAGGCGCCAGGTGTGGGTTTTGCAAGTATCGGAGGTTGATCTGCTGCTGCTGACTCTGCTGCTGCTGACTCTGCTGCTGCTGACTCTGCTGCTGCTAATTCTGCTGCTGCTGACTCTGCTTCTGCTGACTCTGCTGCTGCTGCTGACTCTGTTGCTGCTGACTCTGCTGCTGCTGACTCTGCTGCTGCTGCTGCTGACTCTGCTGCTGACTCTGCTGCTGCTGACTCTGCTGCTGCTGCTGACTCTGCTGCTGCTAATTCTGCTGCTGCTGACTCTGCTGCTGCTGACTCTGCTGCTGCTAATTCTGCTGCTGCTGACTCTGCTGCTGCTAATTCTGCTGCTGCTGACTTTGCTGCTGACTCTGCTTCTGCTGACTCTGCTGCTGCTGACTCTGCTGCTGCTAATTCTGCTGCTGCTGACTCTGCTGCTGCTAATTCTGCTGCTGCTAATTCTGCTGCTGCTGACTCTGCTGCTGCTGACTCTGCTGCTGCTAATTCTGCTGCTGTTGACTCTGCTGCTAATTCTGCTGCTGCTGACTCTGCTGCTGCTGACTCTGCTGCTAATTCTGCTGCTGCTGACTCTGCTGCTGCTGAATCCACTTCATTTAGACAGTTTGAAACCGTATAATGTTTTCTGTTCAATTTACCACTTATTAAGTAATATTAACTCTGAGAATGTTTGAATTAATATTTAACAAGAACTAAAGTAAACATTTTGAATATGATAAATATTAGTTATTAGTAGTAGTAATGGTAATGTCTTCTCTCAGACGTAATAACATTGATTTAACATAATAATAATTTTAAGAAATGTGAAATAATCTATAAAAGTAATAATATTAGAGCATGAATAGTAGTGGAAGGAGTTCTAATAAATTCTCTGAATACTTTCGCTGGCAATAAAAGCTTTACTTAGGAGGATAGCTTTACTAGGAAAATGTTTCTGAGTGCATTAAAATTAGATCTAAATAAATGGATGAATGAAGTCAGTCTAATCGCGTTCCTTGGGGGTATGGAGAGGATTATAAGGGATAACAGCTAGATTGTTTAAGATTAAGCCAACCAAGAGGTGGCACGGGCATGAATAGCCCGTAAGATAACATCCAGATGAACACCTCTATTAATAAGAACTCTAGTTCCCAGAATAACAGGATTACAGGTAGGACACATGACCATATTCCCGTAGAAGATATCATTGCAGATACATCGCCAAGTCGGGATTAGAGGACTGGACTCACGATATCAGCCATTACGGGCTATTCATGCCCGTGCCACCTCTTGGGTGGCTTAATCTTTATCAATCAATCAGTCAATGAATCGATATCAGCCATTACGGGCTGACTATTGCCCGGGTTACATGGAATGTTTGTTCCGAGTAGTTGAATGTAAAACAATAAACGATAGCAGCCTCATTAGACGTTGAGATGTAAGTGTGGTCCTAATGACACACTCAGACCTTGACAAAGCACTCAGGAGAGTGTGAAAGACTTGGTGTAAATTCCTTATATAAAGTTCACAACTACACAAGTGTGGATTTTTATCCTATAAATATTATATCTAAATTGTATGCAGTTTCCAACGACATCAGACACGGGGAGACTTTTAGGTACTGGAATAAATGATTAGTGGAAGGCACTGGTGCAGGTTTGGGGCAGTACTGGTGCAGGGTTGGGGCAGCACTGGTGCAGGTTTGGGGCAGTACTGGTGCAGGGTTGGGGCAGCACTGGTGCAGGGTTGGGGCAGCACTGGTGCAGGTTTGGGGCAGCACTGGTGCAGGTTTGGGGCAGCACTGGTGCAGGTTTGGGGCAGCACTGGTGCAGGGTTGGGGCAGCACTGGTGCAGGGTTGGGGCAGCACTGGTGCAGGTTTGGGGCAGCACTGGTGCAGGGTTGGGGCAGCACTGGTGCAGGGTTGGGGCAGTACTGGTGCAGGGTTGGGGCAGTACTGGTGCAGGGTTGGGGTAGCACTGGTGCAGGTTTGGGGCAGCACTGGTGCAGGTTTGGGGCAGCACTGGTGCAGGTTTGGGGCAGCACTGGTGCAGGGTTGGGGCAGCACTGGTGCAGGGTTGGGGCAGCACTGGTGCAGGGTTGAGGCAGCACTGGTGCAGGGTTGGGGCAGCACTGGTGCAGGGTTGGGGCAGCACTGGTGCAGGGTTGGGGCAGCACTGGTGCAGGGTTGGGGCAGTACTGGTGCAGGGTTGGGGCAGTACTGGTGCAGGGTTGGGGCAGCACTGGTGCAGGGTTGGGGCAGCACTGGTGCAGGTTTGGGGCAGCACTGGTGCAGGGTTGGGGCAGCACTGGTGCAGGGTTGGGGCAGCACTGGTGCAGAGTTGGGGCAGCACTGGTGCAGGGTTGGGGCAGTACTGGTGCAGGGTTGGGGCAGCACTGGTGCAGGGTTGGAGCAGTACTGGTGCAGGGTTGGGGCAGTACTGGTGCAGGGTTGGGGCAGCACTGGTGCAGGGTTGGAGCAGTACTGGTGCAGGGTTGGGGCAGCACTGGTGCAAGGTTGGGGCAGCACGTGTGCAGGGTTGGGGCAGCACTGGTGCAGGTTTGGGGCAGCACTGGTGCAGGGTTGGGGCAGCACTGGTGCAAGGTTGGGGCAGCACTGGTGCAGGGTTGGGGCAGCACGTGTGGAGGGTTAGAGCGACACGTGTGGCGTGCATGCAGGACCAGACCCCTCAGGAAGGGACAGTTGGCGTGCTTGAGGGGGGGGGGCGGACGACCAGTGTTCACACGCGTGTCAGTGCTCGTGTGTGTGCACGGTGTGACGCCACAATGTACATTGTAACCTCAAGTTCGTTCTTGACTACTTTACAGGCAGGTTTTTCTAATCATAATAATGTTTATACTGTTAGTTTAAGCCACGTTAGGTTGGGTTTGGTAAGGTTAGATAGGGTTTAAAATCCTGTGTATGATGTGACTTTTATCTACTGATTGGGTGGGATGTAAGACCTGGTATAGGGTGATTAATTATCTTTGTACCGCCGCCATCTTTGAGGTTGTGTACTACACAACCTCTACATTGTTCCTGCACCTTGTGAAATGTTCCGCTTTTCATGTGATTCATAACTTTCCGGGTTATATATCATGCATTACAACAGTCGTGGAGCAGCTCGTCCTCCTATAAGGTTTCCCAACGTCAAGAAACTGTCGTACTAAAGTGCCCTTAACCTAACCTACCAGAGGACCCACAACAGAAAACGGGACAGTACGTCACTTTCGTGAGCCGCTGCCATTTTCTAGTACGACGATTTTTTTTGGCCTTAGGTAGAGTATACGTCAAAATACGACGTTCTATTAGGAGCACGGGATGTAGAGGGGATGGACTCTCCACACACTTCACAGTGGTCTACGTCATGGGCTCACAACCTACGGGCCAGAGTTCCATCCCCGCGGTGGGAAGAGTGGCATGGCAGAGACCATTGCTCATGCTTCCTTTCACCTGATGCTTCAGTTCACCTGGCAGTAAATAGATGCCCGGGAGTTAGGAAACTGTTGTGGGTAGCATCCTGGGCAACGTCAGTAGTTGGCCGAGGGGAGACCCCTATAAGCCTATAAATATAGGCTTACTGTCCCCGACAACGGGAATTACTATTATCTCTATCACACGCACTAAATGTAAGTAATTTGTTTCGTTAGAAACATCTAAACAGTCTACTTAGGCACCGCTCCTGTGCCAGGTAAGTTACGGGCTCACCATAGCCCGTGCTACTTGGAACTTGTTCCGAGTAGCTGAATCTATAACAACAACAGTCTAGTGATTAGACTCGTTTTCTGTGGCCAGTTCTAAATGAAAATAATGATGTGGAATTTATATTAATTGTAAATCTGTGTCTAAGTTTATAAAGTCTTCCCTCAGTTGTATATTTAATGAACTAATTAAAGCACAGAGACTCGGATATTATATTCTTATATACAATTGCCTTGGATAACTGTGTTAACATTTATTTATGCATAGTGGAGCGAGTTATTCATTATTAATACGGCTGGGGATGGTTCATTATTCTACTATGAATGTCTGGGCGTTAATTGCATTGATCTTCCTCATGCAGGCATCCAGTGCTGTTTGTTATGTGCGAGGCGTGTGCGTGTGCGTGCGTGTGTACTCACCTATTTGTACTCACCTATTTGTGCTTGCGGGGGTTGAGCTTTGGCTCTTTGGTCCCGCCTCTCAACTGTCAATCAACTGGTGTACAGATTCCTGAGCCTACTGGGCTCTATCATATCTACATTTAAAACTGTGTATGGAGTCAGCCTCCACCACATCACTGCCTAATGCATTCCATCCGTTAACTACTCTGACACTAAAAAAGTTCCTTCTAACGTCTCTGTGGCTCATGTGAGTACTCAGTTTCCACCTGTGTCCCCTTGTTCGCGTCCCACCAGTGTTGAATAGTTTATCCTTGTTTACCCGGTCGATTCCTCTGAGGATTTTGTAGGTTGTGATCATGTCTCCCCTTACTCTTCTGTCTTCCAGTGTCGTAAGGTGCATTTCCCGCAGCCTTTCCTCGTAACTCATGCCTCTTAGTTCTGGGACTAGTCTAGTGGCATACCTTTGGACTTTTTCCAGCTTCGTCTTGTGCTTGACAAGGTACGGGCTCCATGCTGGGGCCGCATACTCCAGGATTGGTCTTACATATGTGGTGTACAAGATTCTGAATGATTCCTTACACAGGTTCCTGAACGCTGTTCTGATGTTAGCCAGCCTCGCATATGCCGCAGACGTTATTCTTTTTATGTGGGCTTCAGGAGACAGGTTTGGTGTGATATCAACTCCTAGATCTTTCTCTCTGTTCGTTTCATTAAGTACTTCATCTCCTATTCTGTATCCTGTGTTTGGCCTCCTATTTCCACCACCTAGTTTCATTACTTTGCATTTACTCGGGTTGAACTTCAACAGCCATTTGTTGGACCATTCACTCAGTCTGTCTAGGTCATCTTGTAGCCTCCTACTATCGTCCTCAGTTTCAATCCTCCTCATAATTTTTGCATCATCGGCAAACATCATGTGTTTGCATGTGTGTGTGTGTGTGTGTGTGTGTGTGTGTGTGTGTGTGTGTGTGTGTGTGTGTGTGTGTGTGTGGTGTGTGTGTGTGTGAGTGGTGTGTGTGTGTGTGATGTGTGTGTGTGTGTGTGTGTGTGTGTGTGTGTGTGTGTGTGTGTGTGTGATGCGTGGGTGTGTGTGTGTATGTATGTGTGTGGTGTGTGTGTGTGTGTGTGTGTGTATACTGGGTGTGTGTGTGTGTGTGTGTGTGTGTGTGTGTGTGTGTGTGTGTGTGTACTCACCTATATGTACTCACCTATATGTGCTTGCAGGATCGAGCATTGACTCTTGGATCCCGCCTTTCTAGCTATCGGTTGTTTACAGCAATGACTCCTGTCCCATTTCCCTATCATACCTAGTTTTAAAAGTATGAATAGTATTTGCTTCCACAACCTGTTCCCCAAGTGCATTCCATTTTTCTACTACTCTCACGCTAAAAGAAAACTTCCTAACATCTCTGTGACTCATCTGAGTTTCCAGTTTCCACCCATGTCCCCTCGTTCTGTTATTATTACGTGTGAACATTTGATCTATTTCCACTTTGTCAATTCCCCTGAGTATTTTATATGTCCCTATCATATCTCCTCTCTCCCTTCTTTTCTCTAGTGTCGTAAGGTTCAGTTCCTTCAGCCGCTCTTCATATCCCATCCCTCGTAGCTCTGGGACAAGCCTCGTCGCAAACCTCTGAACCTTCTCCAGTTTCTTTATGTGTTTCTTCAGGTGGGGGCTCCATGATGGCGCGGCATACTCTAAGACGGGTCTCACGTAGGCAGTGTAAAGCGCCCTAAAAGCTTCCTCATTTAGGTTTCTGAATGAAGTTCTAATTTTCGCCAGTGTAGAGTACGCTGCTGTCGTTATCCTATTTATATGTGCCTCAGGAGTTAGATTGGGTGTCACATCCACTCCCAGGTCTCTTTCTCGAATCGTTACAGGTAGGCTGTTCCCCTTCATTGTGTACTGTCCCTTTGGTCTCCTGTCACCTGATCCCATTTCCATAACTTTACATTTACTGGTGTTAAACTCCAGTAGCCATTTCTCTGACCATCTCTGCAGCCTGTGTAAGTCCTCTTGGAGGATCCTACAATCCTCGTCTGTCACAACTCTTCTCATTAATTTTGCGTCATCTGCAAACATTGACATGTATGATTCCACTCCTGTAAACATATCATTTACGTAAATTAGAAAGAGGATTGGTCCCAGCACCGATCCTTGAGGTACTCCACTTGTTACTGTTCGCCAGTCCGACTTTTCGCCCCTTACCATTACCCTCTGGCTCCTTCCTGTTAGGTAGTTCTTCACCCATACTAGGGCCTTTCCGCTTACTCCTGCCTGCCTCTCAAGTTTGTATAGCAGTCTCATGTGCGGTACCGTATCAAAGGCCTTTTGGCAGTCAAGAAATATGCAGTCTGCCCAGCCTTCTCTGTCCTGCCTTATCCTTGTTACTTTATCATAGAATTCTAAAAGGTTTGTTAGGCATGATTTCCCTGTCCAGAACCCATGTTGGTGCTTGTTTACAAACCCAATGCTCTCCAGGTGCTCAACAAGTCTTAGCCTAATTATTCTTTCAAGTATTTTGCAGGGGATGCTTGTCAGTGATACGGGTCTGTAGTTAAGTGCCTCCTCCCTATCCCCCTTTTTGAAAATCGGTACGACATTTGCCTCCTTCCAGCAACTGGGCAATTCTCCCGACATAAGTGACTCATTGAAGATCATTGCCAGAGGCACGCTGAGAGCCTGCGCTGCCTCTTTAAGTATCCACGGTGATACTTTGTCTGGTCCAACAGCTTTATTTGCATCCAGTGTTGTCAACTGTTTCATTACATCCTCTGCTGTCACCTCTATATCTGATAGTCTTTCATCTTGGGTAATCTCTTCTAACAATGGGAGCTGCTCAGGCTCGGTAGTGAACACTCCATGGAATTTTGCATTCAGTACCTCGCAGATTTCCTTGTCGCTTTCTGTATATGCCCCTTCTGTTTTCCTCAGTCTTGTCACTTGGTCATTTACCGACATCTTCCTTCTTATATGGCTATGTAGTAATTTTGGTTGCTTTTTCGCTTTGACTGCAATATCGTTCTCATAATTTCTTTCCGACACTCGTCTTATGTTAATGTAATCATTCCTAGCTCTGTTACATCTAATCCTGTTGTCCTCTGTCCTTTGTCTTCTGTACTTCCTCCACTCCCTCCTGCTTCTCACCTTTGCTTCCTGACACTGTCTATTAAACCATGGGTTATTATATTCCCTCCTGCTTTTTTTCTTTATTGTTGGAATAAATCTATCTTCAGCCTCCTTGCATTTCAATATGACTTGGGTCATCATACCTTGCACTGTTTTTCCTCTAAGTTCTTCCTCCCACTGCACTTCTCCCAGGTAGTCCCTTATCCCTCTGTAGTCCCCTTTTCTGTAATCAAGTCTCCTTTCCCGGACCTCTTGTCCTTTGGTCACAATTTTAAGCTCCATCATGTAGTCAAAGGCTAGGACACAATGGTCACTAGCTCCTAGTGGTATTTCATGTTCCAACTGCTCGATGTCTTCTACATTCTGAGTGATAATGAGATCTAATAGGCTGGGCGTATCCCCTCCTCTTTCCCTAGTATCTTCTTTCACATGCTGTGTTAGGAAATTCCTGTCAATAACGTCTACCAGCTTCGCTCCCCAGGTCTCCTCCCCGCCATGGGGATTCCTCGTTTCCCAATCTATCTCTCCGTGATTTAGGTCCCCCATGACCAGCAGCTTCGCTCTCATTCTATGCGCTAAAGTTGCTGCCCTCTGCAGTTCATCCATACATGTCTTGTTGCTGTCCTCGTACTCCTGCCTGGGCCTTCTACTGTTTGGTGGGGGATTGTAGAGTATCAAGATTACAATCTTCTTCCCATCCACTGTCAGGGTTCCATGTATGAAGCTTGTGCTTTCATTGGTACCCGGATTTTCCAGCTCATCAAACTTCCATTTCCGCTTTATTAGTAGTGCCACTCCACCTCCCTGTCTCTGTGTCCTTTCTTTTCTTATCACCTGGTACCCCTCTGGAAAGATTGCATCCGAGATCATGCCATTTATTTTAGTTTCCACTATTGCCACTATGTCTGGGTCTGCCTCACTAACTCTTTCTTTTATCTCTTCTGCTTTATTGGCTACCCCATCAGCATTGGTGTACCAAACCTTGAGACTCTTCTTGGAAACTCGGGTGTCAGAGTTCCCCCTTTCACCAGGGGTCTGGGGGGAACTGGGGGGTGTCTGGGGGGCAAGTGGGGGCTGTGGGGGCTGTGGGGGCGAGTGGGGGGGTGCTAGGGGGGTGCCTGGGAGTGCCTGGTAGGCAAATGGGGTCTGGGCATCTAGGGGGGTAAGAAGGGCATAATGGGTCTGAAAGTTAGGGGTCTGAATAGCATAGGGGGGTTGAGAAATAGAGTGAGACTGAGAGTCAGATAGAGGTTGAGAGGTTGGGGGGAAGAGGGATACTGAGGTGAGATGAGAATGGAGCATGGGTGCTGGGAGTGGAAGAGAGGGTATATTAGATAGGGGGGAATCGGGGGTAGGTGGGGGTTTTGGGGTAGAAGAGGGGAAGAGGGAGATGGGGGAAGGTGTTAGGGGGTCACAAGGTGAGGGGGTTAAATGTGGGCTGGAGGTGCATAGGAGGGGTGAGGGTTGGGTGGGGTTTGGGGGTGAGTGGAAGAGGGGTGCAGTGGAAGCTGGGATGGAGTAGATGGAATTGAAGTCAATGGGGTAGAAGGGGCAGGGGAGTGGGAAGGGGTATTTGGGGAGGGGGGATGGGAAGGTGGGTTTGGGGAGGGCATGGCTTGACCCACTGGGGTCGCTGACAAGTGTGATGTAGCAGGGGCAGGGGAATCGTTGTGGAGGTGCAAATGTGGAAGGGACAGGGGGGTTTTGGGAGGCTGAGGCAGGGGGGATGTATAGGAGGGCTGAGTTGGGGAGGATGCGACCTGGGAGGTGACCTGGGAGGTGACCTGGGAGGTGACCTGGGAGGTGACCTGGGATGTGACCTGGGAGGTGAGATTACCTGGGAGGTTAGTACGTTGTCGTTGTTGCCATCTATTTTTGTGGGCTGTTTGCTCATCTTTCGTCATAAACCTCTCTATAAACACATTGTAATGGGTTTCACTTCCTCTGAGTAAATGCTTGCTCCTCATTATGTACTCCACTGCCTCCTCATTGGAGAATTGCACCAGAACAGGTCTCTTCTTGGTACAATTGTAAGGTCCAACCCGTCGATTGATATCCACCTCGTATGTGTGTGTGTGTGTGTGTGTGTGTGTGTGTGTGTGTGTGTGTGTGTGTGTGTGTGTGTGTGTGTAGGTGTGTGTGTGTGTGTAGGTGTGTGTGTGTAGGTGTGTGTGTGTAGGTGTGTGTGTGTGTGTTGTGTTTGTGTGTGTGTAGGTGTTTGTGTGTGTGTAGGTGTGTGTGTGTGTGTGTGTGTAGGTGTGTGTGTGTGTGTAGATGTTTGTGTGTGTGTAGGTGTGTGTGTGTGTGTAGGTGTGTGTGTGTGTGTGTGTGTGTGAGGGCCGAGGGATCCAGCCTGGTCGTCTCTACCACCCTGGCTAGCACCAACAGCCTGTTGGGTCATCTGTTATTTCCTTCTCCATTCCCTCGTGTCCTTTATTCTCCTGTCCAGCGTTCTCTTCCTTCTTACATTCATCCATCTTCCATTCCTTATTGTCCTATTCCTTTATATTCTACCTATTCATATGTATTTATCTCCTTATTTTCTTTCCAATTTTCTGTACTTTTTTTTATCTTATCTGTTTGATTTATCCAATATTTTACTTATCTCTCTCACTTTATCCCTCTTCCTCCTTGATTGATTCTTCACTTTCTTGTCTTTTCTTACCCTTTCATGGCACTTGGGTCGTCCCCTTCCTCCCCCCACCAGTGCCACCTACTTGGCACTGTCAATACCTTTTTAAATATTCACTGGCACCCCGGTCACGATCCTGTGATAAGGAGTGCCGCTACCATGGGTAGGTGGAGGGTGATGCCAGGAGCGTGCGTGCACTGAGTGCCAGGAGCGTGCGTCCACTGAGTGCCAGGAGCGTGCGTCCACTGAGTGCCAGGAGCGTTCGTCCACTGAGTGCCAGGAGCGTTCGTCCACTGAGTGCCAGGAGCGTGCGTCCACTGAGTGCCAGGAGCGTGCGTCCACTGAGTGCCAGGAGCGTGCGTGCACTGAGTGCCAGGAGCGTGCGTGCACTGAGTGCCAAGAGCATGCGTGCACTGAGTGCCAGGAGCGTTCGTCCACTGAGTGCCAGGAGCCTGCGTGCACTGAGTGCCAAGAGCATGCGTGCACTGAGTGCCAGGAGCGTGCGTGCACTGAGTGCCAGGAGCGTACCCCCGCTGTACAGTGAGTGGACGGGGCACCACGACTGTGGAAAGCAGAATATATACAACATTCCACATTGGTAAACTGTTTACCTTGTGGCAACTTTGAACGACATAGTGACCAGGCTTACTTGACCCTCGGTAGATCCTTAGTCAATCCGATTGCTTTAATATCTCTCGTCTTACGTGTTTTTTCTTGTAGTGGCATCCTTTCCTTAAGTGACATTTTGTCCAGTGTCCAGTGTCCTTAAGTGACATTTTGTCCAGTGTCCTTAAGTGACATTTTGTCCAGTGTCCTTAAGTGACATTTTGTCCAGTGTCCAGTGTCCTTAAGTGACATTTTGTCCAGTGTCCTTAAGTGACATTTTGTCCAGTGTCCAGTGTCCTTAAGTGACATTTTGTCCAGTGTCCTTAAGTGACATTTTGTCCAGTGTCCAGTGTCCTTAAGTGACATTTTGTCCAGTGTCCAGTGTCCTTAAGTGACATTTTGTCCAGTGTCCAGTGTTCTTAAGTGACATTTTGTCCAGTGTCCAGTGTTCTTAAGTGACATTTTGCCCAGTGTCCAGTGTCCTTAAGTGACATTTTGTCCAGTGTCCAGTGTTCTTAAGTGACATTTTGCCCAGTGTCCAGTGTCCTTAAGTGACATTTTGCGTCATTTGAAAACCCAGCAACACGCAGTACTACATAATCTTTCCAAGCTTGGCGCCTTAATTCTTTTGATAATTTCTTTGAATGCTTTGCATCTACATTCGAAATAACTTACTTAGACAATTAGAAAACATTTTATTTACGTTGGAAACCCTGCAAGATACTTTGAAAACCTCTTATTTACTTGCATTTATTTTTGAAACCTGTTAGTTACTCTGGAAACTTTTTGCCTTCTCTGGTAACTTTGGAAGTGTCCTGCATACTTTGGAACCTTTATTTAATTTGGAAACTTTTTAGTTACTTTGAAAAACCTGCTAATTACTTTTGGAAATCCAATACTTGGTTTGGAAACCTTTTAGTTTCTTTAGAAATCTCTTAGATACCCTGGACACGTGATGGTTACTCAGTTGTACACGGTGACATAGATACCCTGGACACGTGATGGTTACTCAGTTGTACACGGTGACATAGATACCCTGGACACGTGATGGTTACTCAGTTGTACACGGTGACATAGATACCCTGGACACCTGATGGTTACTCAGTTGTACACGGTGACATAGATACCCTGGACACCTGATGGTTACTCAGTTGTACACGGTGACATAGATACCCTGGACACCTGATGGTTACTCAGTTGTACACGGTGACATAGATACCCTGGACACGTGATGGTTACTCAGTTGTACACGGTGACATAGATACTCTGGACACCTGATGGTTACTCAGTTGTACACGGTGACATAGATACTCTGGACACCTGATGGTTACTCAGTTGTACACGGTGACATAGATACTCTGGACACCTGATGGTTACTCAGTTGTACACGGTGACATAGATACCCTGGACACGTGATGGTTACTCAGTTGTACACGGTGACATAGATACCCTGGACACGTGATAGTTACTCAGTTGTACACGGTGACATAGATACCCTGGACACCTGATGGTTACTCAGTTGTACACGGTGACATAGATACCCTGGACACCTGATGGTTACTCAGTTGTACACGGTGACATAGATACCCTGGACACCTGATGGTTACTCAGTTGTACACGGTGACATAGATACCCTGGACACGTGATGGTTACTCAGTTGTACACGGTGACATAGATACTCTGGACACCTGATGGTTACTCAGTTGTACACGGTGACATAGATACTCTGGACACCTGATGGTTACTCAGTTGTACACGGTGACATAGATACTCTGGACACCTGATGGTTACTCAGTTGTACACGGTGACATAGATACTCTGGACACCTGATGGTTACTCAGTTGTACACGGTGACATAGATACCCTGGACACCTGATGGTTACTCAGTTGTACACGGTGACATAGATACCCTGGACACGTGATGGTTACTCAGTTGTACACGGTGACATAGATACCCTGGACACGTGATGGTTACTCAGTTGTACACGGTGACATAGATACTCTGGACACCTGATGGTTACTCAGTTGTACACGGTGACATAGATACTCTGGACACCTGATGGTTACTCAGTTGTACACGGTGACATAGATACTCTGGACACCTGATGGTTACTCAGTTGTACACGGTGACATAGATACTCTGGACACCTGATGGTTACTCAGTTGTACACGGTGACATAGATACCCTGGACACCTGATGGTTACTCAGTTGTACACGGTGACATAGATACCCTGGACACGTGATGGTTACTCAGTTGTACACGGTGACATAGATACCCTGGACACGTGATGGTTACTCAGTTGTACACGGTGACATAGATACCCTGGACACCTGATGGTTACTCAGTTGTACACAGTGACATAGATACCCTGGACACCAGATGGTTACTCAGTTGTACACGGTGACATAGATACCCTGGACACCTGATGGTTACTCAGTTGTACACAGTGACATAGATACCCTGGACACCTGATGGTTACTCAGTTGTACACGGTGACATAGATACCCTGGACACCTGATGGTTACTCAGTTGTACACGGTGACATAGATACCCTGGACACCTGATGGTTACTCAGTTGTACACGGTGACATAGATACTCTGGACACCTGATGGTTACTCAGTTGTACACGGTGACATAGATACTCTGGACACCTGATGGTTACTCAGTTGTACACGGTGACATAGATACCCTGGACACGTGATGGTTACTCAGTTGTACACGGTGACATAGATACTCTGGACACCTGATGGTTACTCAGTTGTACACGGTGACATAGATACCCTGGACACCTGATGGTTACTCAGTTGTACACGGTGACATAGATACTCTGGACACCTGATGGTTACTCAGTTGTACACGGTGACATAGATACCCTGGACACCTGATGGTTACTCAGTTGTACACGGTGACATAGATACCCTGGACACCTGATGGTTACTCAGTTGTACACGGTGACATAGATACCCTGGACACCTGATGGTTACTCAGTTGTACACGGTGACATAGATACCCTGGACACGTGATGGTTACTCAGTTGTACACGGTGACATAGATACTCTGGACACCTGATGGTTACTCAGTTGTACACGGTGACATAGATACTCTGGACACCTGATGGTTACTCAGTTGTACACGGTGACATAGATACCCTGGACACCTGATGGTTACTCAGTTGTACACGGTGACATAGATACCCTGGACACGTGATGGTTACTCAGTTGTACACGGTGACATAGATACTCTGGACACCTGATGGTTACTCAGTTGTACACGGTGACATAGATACTCTGGACACCTGATGGTTACTCAGTTGTACACGGTGACATAGATACTCTGGACACCTGATGGTTACTCAGTTGTACACGGTGACATAGATACTCTGGACACCTGATGGTTACTCAGTTGTACACGGTGACATAGATACCCTGGACACCTGATGGTTACTCAGTTGTACACGGTGACATAGATACCCTGGACACGTGATGGTTACTCAGTTGTACACGGTGACATAGATACTCTGGACACCTGATGGTTACTCAGTTGTACACGGTGACATAGATACTCTGGACACCTGATGGTTACTCAGTTGTACACGGTGACATAGATACTCTGGACACCTGATGGTTACTCAGTTGTACACGGTGACATAGATACTCTGGACACCTGATGGTTACTCAGTTGTACACGGTGACATAGAAACTACCAACTAATATGGAAAATAGTTAACGAAAACATGCCATTAAATAAAAACAAAAACCTGGATCGTTTCCACAGAAAGTAGCTTTGTCGACATTTAATGAAATTAAACATGTCGCAGGAACCTGTAAACTGCTCCGACTAAAGATCAGTTGCGCTTCTCGAGGTGTTGTAGAAACAACAAGAATTGTATAAACTACAATAATGTATATATTGTACAAGCCAGGAGGATGTTTTGCATAAGCATGACAAATGTGTAGTAGAATGAGAAGAATGTGTTGGATTGTCCTGAAGAATAGGTTGTGGAAACCAGGATAGTTGTAGAGACCAGAAGAATGTGCCGAAGAAATCACAAGAATGTGCCAAAGAAATCACAAGAATGTGCCGAAGAAATCACAAGAATGTGCCGAAGAAATCACAAGAATGTGCCGAATAAATGACAAGACTGTGCTGAAGAACTCACAAGACTGTATTAAAGAAACTAGAAGAGCGGCAACACACGGAAGACACGACACAAAAGGGTGATAATTCAACACAGATAATACCCCGGTAATCACACCTGTCATAAAAGTAATGATATGATCACATGAACACCGCCACCTCTTACACCGGAAATTGCAATAATAATCGTGATTACGACAAAAACTACAGACGAGGAGAGAGCGCATGGGACAGAGAAAGAATAGAGGGAATAGAAAACAGGAGAGGAGAAAGGGGTGAGAGAGAGAGAGAGAGAGATTGGAGAAAGGCTAGAAGGAAAAGAAGGGAGATCAGATCATGTGTGTGTGATCAGGTTGATGAGAGACACATTGGCTCTTGGGACACAGAGAAAGCGTGTCTCTTAGTTGTGGTGTTGTGAGTAGTATCAGACCCCATACCGATCCTGGGAGGGGTGGTGGACCCCATACCCATCCTGGGAGGGTAGTAGACCCCCATACCCATCCTGGGAGTGGTAGTGGACCCCATACCCATCCTGGGAGTGGTAGTGGTCCCCCATACCCATCCTGGGAGTGGTAGTGGACCCCCATACCCATCCTGGGAGTGGTAGTGGACCCCATACCCATCCTGGGAGTGGTAGTGGTCCCCCATACCCATCCTGGGAGTGGTAGTGGACCCCCATACCCATCCTGGGAGGGGTAGCGGACCCCATACCCATCCTGGGAGGGGTAGCGGACCCCATACCCATCCTGGGAGGGGTAGTGGACCCCATACCCATCCTGGGAGGGGTAGCGGTCCCCATACCCATCCTGGGAGGGGTAGCGGACCCCATACCCATCCTGGGAGGGGTAGTGGACCCCATACCCATCCTGGGAGTGGTAGTGGACCCCCATACCCATCCTGGGAGGGGTAGCGGACCCCATACCCATCCTGGGAGGGGTAGCGGACCCCATACCCATCCTGGGAGGGGTAGTGGACCCCATACCCATCCTGGGAGGGGAAGCGGACCCCATACCCATCCTGGGAGGGGTAGCGGACCCCATACCCATCCTGGGAGGGGTAGCGGACCCCATACCCATCCTGGGAGGGGTAGTGGACCCCATACCCATCCTGGGAGGGGTAGTGGACCCCATACCCATCCTGGGAGGGGTAGTGGACCCATACCCATCCTGGGAGGGGTAGTGGACCCCATACCTCTCCTGGGAGTGGTAGTGGACCCCATACCCATCCTGGGAGGGTAGTGGACCCCATACCCATCCTGGGAGGGGTAGTGGACCCATACCCATCCTGGGAGTGGCAGTGGACCCCATACCCATCCTGGGAGTGGCAGTGGACCCATACCCATCCTGGGAGGGGTAGTGGACCCATACCCATCCTGGGAGTGGCAGTGGACCCCATACCCATCCTGGGAGGGGTAGTGGACCCATACCCATCCTGGGAGTGGTAGTGGACCCCCATACCCATCCTGGGAGTGGTAGTGGACCCCCATACCCATCCTGGGAGGGGTAGTGAACCCCCATACCCATCCTGGGAGGGGTAGTGGACCCCATACCCATCCAGAGAGGGGTAGTGGACCCCCATACCCATCCTGGGAGGGGTAGTGGAGAAAGTTGGACAGCACACCTGACATGCGCTGGAACGTTTAGCTTAGCAAGTTACAGCAATGATGAGCTGGTTACAGAGTTTAACACCTACATCAGCAGCCTATTCAGTGTTAACCAAACTAACATCAGTCGTGATCCTAAGAAGCCCTAACACAATGAATGAGAACTTGAATTAGTTTATTATGGCCCTTATACTCGTCCCGTGGGGTAGAAAGATTTCAGGGTCACATAATGGGTTCTGTTGCTGGACCTCAGCGATCTTTCAGCTTAGGAATTTATATTTGTCATGGGCTAGTTACATGTCATTTGCCCGTCATGCACCCAGACCCATCCAGAGGGTGGCACTGGAAAGGTTAGACACCTGAATGAGGGCTAACTTGGGACACTTATTGTTAATGAAACATTGTTTTGTGTTACAAACACACTTGCACCTTTGTGTTGGGTATCTCTAAATTCATCATTTTTCGCGGCTGGTCTAGTGATGCAAGTTAACGTCAACAGATAATGTAAACTCAGAGAGATACAACCGAGGCAAAGCCGAGCAGTAGTAATATCTGAGAGTCTGCTGGTTTCACCTGAGGGCCATTGGTTCATGAGGCGATGCCTGGAAACGTGGAGCAAGAGTGCTTGTTAAAGGAGCTAAAGAACAGAGAAGAAGAAGAAGGAGCAACTTGTGTAAGAGAAGAATGAGCAGGTGAGAGTAACAAGAGAGGCAGAGAAGCAATATGAGAGTGACGTTGAAAACAGAGGCAAACGGTTGAAAACGAGGCAAACATAACCACAGCCACACAAGAAAGTTTACGATAAAAAGATCAAGTAATCAGACTCTGGAAAAAGTGAGTAAAGGGTGAACAGAAAAAGACAAGGAAGTATGTGACGAAAGATTTTTAGGAATGATGTGAAAGGGAGCCAAATCTCCAGTTACAACTAGAGGAACGGAACCTGCCCAGTGAAAAAAAAAGTGAAGACAGAGTTAGCGAGGATACTGGATCAGAAACTGGACCAGGTCATGGTCAAAGTGGACAAGGAAACACACTTTTTAAATCGAGAGGATATAAGGACACAGGTGGAGCTGGAAACACAAATGAGCCATAATTGACGAAATGCAAGGAAATCCTTTTATACCTGGAACGGGTAGCGAAGACATGGAGTACACCACACACACACACACATAGAACCCATCTTCGTCCCCAACTTCGAAGGTCAGAATGGACAAAGAATCAGTGTCAGGAAATTTACCATTAAAACTCAACAAGTACAACAAAACAGTCGCGCGGAGCATTAAGAGTTGGACCTCACTTTCCCGTAGTCACTGTTTGGCGAGTTCTGTTAGGGAAGCTCCCGTATACACACACACACACACACACACACACACACACACACAGAAGCAGGACCAAAGAGCCAGAGCTCAACCCCCGCAAGCACAACTAGGTGAGAAACCACAAGAATCACCTACAGAGAGGCGCGTACACACACACACACACACTTTGGCGCGTAATATCGAAACTACAGACAACCTTAGGAGAAAGTGTAGCGTGAAAATACTAGAAGTGTAGTAGTAGTGTAAGGAGAGGGAGGTGTAGGTAGGTGTAGGAGGCACGAGTAAAGAGCACCTCACACACCCACCGCCCGCAGAGTAAAGCTGATGATGTGCGATGCTCCTCCACACTCAACTTTATTTAATCTTGATTAAATCAGCTTGAATTTAATGTTGCGTGTACGCTTGTCGTAAACACTTCAGCGGCGATGTTTAGGTCTCCCGCGAGTCTTGCTTCACGTCCACTGTTCCAGGTTTGGGAAAGTGTAATAATGATGAAATACGTCTGGTCAGCGTTACAGGTGTGGGAGTGTGAGAGACGTCTTTTCGACGTTGCAGGTGTGGAATTGAAAGAGACGTCTGTTGCTGGTGTGGGTGAGGGAAGTGTTGAGAAAATACAGGTGTTGCGTGCTATTTTGGTATGTGAACTCTGGGACAGCTGATATTCCAGTTATTGCAGCATGTTATGTTCAAGCCGCCGGGGCCCCACCCCAGGCAACGCTGGCCGCTGGGGCCCCACGCCAGGCAACGTTGGCCGCCGGGGCCCCACGCCAGGCAACGTTGGCCGCCGGGGCCCCACGCCAGGCAACGTTGGCCGCCGGGGCCCCACGCCAGGCAACGTTGGCCGCCGGGGCCCCACGCCAGGCAACGTTGGCCGCCGGGGCCCCACGCCAGGCAACGCTGGCCGCTGAGGCCCACGCCAGGCAACACCGGCCGCTGGGGCCCACGCCAGCCAACACCGGCCGCTGGGGCCCACGCCAGGCAACGCCGGCCGCTGGGGCCCACGCCAGGCAACGCTGGCCGCTGGGGCCCCACGCCAGGCAACGCCGGCCGCTGGGGCCCACGCCAGGCAACGCCGGCCGCTGGGGCCCACGCCAGGCAACGCTGGCCGCTGGGGCCCACGCCAGGCAACGCTGGCCGCTATGGCCCACGCCAGGCAACGCTGGCCGCTGTGGCCCACGCCAGGCAACGCCGGCCGCTGGGGCCCACGCCAGGCAACGCTGGCCGCTGGGGCCCACGCCAGGCAACGCTGGCCGCTGGGGCCCACGCCAGGCAACGCTGGCCGCTGGGGCCCACGCCAGGCAACGCTGGCCGCTGGGGCCCACGCCAGGCAACGCTGGCCGCTGGGGCCCACGCCAGGCAACGCTGGCCGCTGGGGCCCACGCCAGGCAACGCTGGCCGCTGGGGCCCACGCCAGGCAACGCTGGCCGCTGGGGCCCCATGCCAGGCAACGCTGGTCGCTGGGGCCCCATGCCAGGCAACGCTGGCCGCTGGGGCGCACGCCAGGCGCCGCTGGGGCCCACGCCAGGCGCCGCTAGCCGCTGGGGTCCACGCCAGGCAACACCGGCCGCTGGGCCCCACGCCAGGCAACGCTAGCCGCTGGGGTTCACGCCAGGCAACACCGGCCGCTGGGGCCCCATGCCAGGCAATGCTGGCCGCTGGGGCCCCATGCCAGGCAACACCGGCCGCTGGGGCCCCATGCCAGGCAACGCTAGCCGCTGGGGCCCACGCCAGGCAACGCCGGCCGCTGGGGCCCACGCCAGGCAATGCTGGCCGCATGGCCCACGCCGGCCGCTGGGGCCCACGCCGGCCGCTGGGGCCCCACGCCAGGCAACGCTGGGGCTCCACGCCAGACAACGCCTGCCGCTGGGGCCCACGCCAGGCAATGCTGGCCGCATGGCCCACGCCGGCCGCTGGGGCCCACGCCAGGCAACGCTGGGGCTCACGCCAGGCAACGCTGGGGCCCCACGGCAGGTAACAGCGCACGAGATAGGCAGCTCCGAGAGGCTCGCTAAATGATTGATAGGGTGCAATCTGTATCACTTTGGCGGAGATAAATATCTAACATGGTGTCCTGATTGGCAAGACATGTTGTAAGCTTCTTATTCATTTAAACTGTTCCATTCTCTCTCTCTCTCTCTCTTGACCATTTTGTATTGCATTCATTACGTGTGTACAAGAATACTTACTTTAATTAAATTGTAAATAAATGGTAAAATACGCGTGTTGGCCACGATTTCATCCCTCGGAGGTGGGTAATGTACAATAATTATCGGTATATAATAATAATGTAACGTTCTAAAAGCCGTCAGACTATGAATGGCTTATTATTCTTTCACTCTGAATGACACTCGAGGTAGTTAAATCCGTTTGTGTAATTAAAAAGTCTATTTTGTTGAAAAATAATCAAAGGAAAGTTAAAAAAAAAATGTTGGCTACGTGAGCTTTAGTCAGGAAGGCTTGGGTGGTGTGTGTGGAGGGAGGGAGGGAGGGACAGTGATGGAGGGGCAGGGAGCCGCATGGCATGGGAGGGAGGGCAGGATGGTGCTGGAGGGTGGGGGATGGGGGGGGCAGCAGCGGTGTTTGGGTGGGAGTTGGGTGAGGGAGGGGCCTTGGGGGTTCTAGTGGGAGAGGGAGGGAACTTCTCTCCGTACCTCACCACTCCTCCCTGCCTCCTTCCCCCCTACTCCTACCCTCCCCACACCACGAACCCCACTCACAGCTGATGGGTTCCTTCGCGCTAAATTTCTCAAAGTTGTATTATATTTTATATTATCAGTGTTTCCTCTAGTATCTGCGTGAATATATCAGTTAATATAGACAAAGAGTAGACACCGAACACGGCAATAAGAGCAAATAAGCGGATTTTTCAAATCCACCATATAAATCCATAGCACTGATAATTCGTCAATAATGATCTTAAGCGAATAGATTATCGCAAGCCTCATATATATATAAACACATAAATATATATTTATATAATATTTTCAGAATAATTGTACAGTAGTGAGAAGTTCAAGTAAAGTTGTGAAAATAGTGTTTGTGTGGGTGCGCTCGGGGGTGTGCGCGGGGACTAGTTGCCGCGGCGGAGGGGCGGTCCGGCCTGCAGGATGCACCGCGGCTCAGTGTTGTCGCCGCCATTTGAAGGTCTTAGTTGTGTGGTGGTGTCCCTCGATTTGCTTGTATTGATGCTTTATTTAGTGCCGAAGTGAGTTCAGTGTGTGTTGAGGTTATGCAATGTAAGCCTCATGTTGTGGAGAGAAGTGGGTGGCGCGGAAATAAGTGCTATGTGAAGTAAGATGGAGGAGAAGGCTAAGAGTAACCGCAGACGCCGAGAGAGAGCTCTAAAAATGAGGGCCGAAATCTCGGAGAGCGCTAAGGCTTCGGAGGATAGCTGCGAGGAGAGCGTTCCTCTGGTACGGACCAAGCCGCCGCGCCCTCGCAAGAAGAGTAAGGATCCACTCTTTGAGGAGGATGTAGTCGAAGGCTTCGCTTTTCTCGCCTTCAAGACCTACGAGGACCTGGAGGTGAGTGGAGGCCCAGCGTGGCGCTCCGTGACATGTTCACAGTTGTTAGGGCGTCCTGGAGGCCTGGTCTGGGCGTGCCCTGGCCCCACCAGGGGCCCCAGGGGGCACGGGTGCCCTGGCCAGGCCCCTGGGAGAGTGCACACCCGGGGTAGGGAGCAACAGAGGGCGATGCAGGGACGGGGGGAACGTGGCGCTCGGCGAACAATGGTGGGCTCCCGCACGCCACCATCGACCCTCGGCCCGGGCGCCGCAAGGACGGAATCCGCGTGGCGGCCCGCACGCCCTGCAACACAGAACACACACACACATGCTGCACTCCACCACGCCGCTGCTGCTGCTGCTGCTGCTGCTGCTGCTGCTGCTGCTGCTGCTGCTGCTGCCTCGCCCCCGCCACAGCACTTGCTGCACTCTCTTCCACCACTGCTGCCTCTCACCACCACACTCCCACACACACTCCCCCCCTCCTGCCGGCATTGCCCACGTCAACACCTCCTCCTGCAGCAGCGACTCCTGTGCCTCTGTGCAAACAACCACCTCTCCTGTTGCCCCCCCTCACCCCCCCCGTGTCAAGCATTCCACTCCAATATTCATTATTTTAGATTTTTTTCCTACCACATTTTCACCCAAGAATATTCCAGCACAGGGCTCCCCCCCTCACACCGTCCTATGGCTTACGTTCTAATGAACGATGGATTATATTTAACAGAATTATTCAGATTGTCAGAGGGGCGATTAAACCTGCTAATGATATTACGGCTGTTTGTAAACACTGAAGTCATATTTTTCCTCTCTCCTCGCTCATATTACACTTATTATTTATTATTCTTGTTTCTATGATTCGATCTAGTTATTTAATTATTTGAAACACTTGCGCTATCATTTAGCGTGAGAATAACACATTTTTTTTGTTAACAAATGTACGTCTTGAGTTAATTCATAAATAGTTGTATAAGTTTGATCATGTCGGGAAGGAGCAGTTTACGCGGTGGGATAGTTTGTTGAATAATACTTGAAGAGTTTGATATTTCACACTGCGAGAATTGAGCGTCACGCAGCTTGATATTTTGCAGCCACGGCTCATAAATGTAAGGAGTGTTGCAAGATCAGATACAAGAAAAGTTAGTCGGCTTCACGGTGTTGGTCGGCGTGTCTGTTAACTTTAATAAGTTTATTTATAAAGCAACAATTTATGCATGATCTCTGCCGCCATAATATTATTACAACTCATAAATTATACAAATTGGCCTATGCTGTGAACGACTACATTATTGAAAGCAATTATTTCATGTTATATTATTTTTGTTGTATTAGAGCGCGTGTCTGTAGCGATGAAGGCATAATTTACGAGTTCTTACACAGTCGCGTGTTGATGGCTGAAGATGCGTTTGTCTCAAATCTGGCTTATTTCTTTCAATTCATTATTATTTTGTTTTTGATGCTGTCTAAATAGCCGTGTTTATAATTAAACTCAAATTTAAATATAATCTTGTATTCATAGAAGGGCTATCAGTGGTGATGAATTGTGTAAAACTGTATAATTGCAGAGCGTTAATATTTACCTTGACGATTTTGTTGAGTTGTGATATATAATTTTTGGCAATAAAAATACACTAGGCTCGTTAAAAACAAATGTACATTCTGTAGCTATAACAAAAACTATATAATTAATTATCGCTGTAATTTTTTCCTTTTTTTTTATTACGCATCATCTATGTAGCCTGAGTAGTTTCAGGCGATTAATTGAACATTATGATGAGTACGCTAATAGATTAAAAAATATCGAAAAAGCATAATTCTTATTTTTGTCGAGTTTTATACGGTTTGAAGTTTTTCTTGTATAAATAAAAATGGCTGAAAACGGTGAACTTTATCACAGGTTTCAGGTTAGATAAATGTGCGATTTAACGAATAACTCGGTGATTCAGGCTTCACTTGTCATGTATTAGAGTAAAAACAGTAGCCTTGTAATACATTATTGCACGATAAACGTTAGAGAAAAAAACACTTAACGAGGGCTCTTTATTTAATCCCCTTTCGTTCCCAAATTGTGTCAAGATATATTTACATGCCATTGTTATGTGGGTTTCTGCGAGCACTGGTTTTGAATGTGATGGGAATGTACTGGAGGTTGAGGGGGGTGAGGCCTCGGGTAACATTTTAGCTGCTATTCGCTCGTGAGATGTAACTCATTGTAGGTATGCTGAATATGTTGCTGTGATGACTTTGAACGTCTCGACAACATTCGAACCCAATATCTCTCTCTGTACATAGATGTTAAGATATGTTCGGCTTTGTGTCGTAAATTGAACGTTATTTAAAGAGAAATTGTGTTAGCGACATTCTCTTTATATTGCAATTTTAACTGCTGCGCGTCAATCTTCCTGATTGTAATGCATATTAAATATGTAATTATTGTGTGGATGCGTTAAAGCTTCACAAAAAAACGTGCGCTTATTTCCAGAGTTTAGGTAATTAGCATTATGTAATAATGGGATGAGATTTACCAAATTATGCCAGACCCCGCGGTGGAAAATGTGGAGGCATTATATTTGTCAGAGTGGCGGAAGTGGGACTTACTCTCGTGGGATGATGAGTATCCCGTGAGCCGTGAAAATGTTACGTGTCATGGAAATGAACGCGTGCGGCTAAATGTTAGGGGAGGCTTTCCATTTCGTTTGATTCTGAAGCCAAATAGGTAAAGCACATTTTGAAGTCCGTTTAGAAGCCAACTCAAAACATGGCGGACATGTTTATTTCGTGGGTTGTGTGAGCGGTTGTGTGGTGTTTTGTGTTTCAGGACAACTTTATTGTTTTTTAATAGCCAGTGAACAAATAAAACTGCAGGTAATTATACGCTCGTGTTCACAGGATTGATTCATATTGGAAACGTTGTGTTCAGAGTAGTCATAATTTAAAAATAAATACAGTACTCGGGTGAGAGTAGGAGTAATGTAGGAATGCATTATAATTTAACAGCCATGATATATACAGCTTAAAGTAAGTAATAAGTATGTAGACTCATAAGTAAAACACATTTATCGCAAATAATAATCATATAAGTATTATAATTTCAAAATGATAATACTGTTCAGGGATATAAAAATATATTAATAATATAAACACAGACCTGCAGGCTAAAGAGAAACAAGTCATTGGCATTAACAATGTTTTTTGACTTGTAAAGGAAACAGCAGCAGTAGTAATAATATTCATTAAAATAATATATATATATTGTACAGTATTATAAAATTATTAAAAGGTTTTTATAAAATATTATGACAGACATCACTCGCAACAAGAACGAAGGAAACCGAGGATTGTTTAGAATACATGTATTCAAATGTACAAAAGGAGTTTCTGTATACTGTAATTGATAAAAATTACTTGCAGAATTCGAGGTTTGAGAATTTCAATGTTCAGTACTTCCGGTAATAAGAAACATAGCTGTGCTACTCAGATTTCTTCGCAAAATTCGGCATTGGATATTCATGTTAAGTATATTGAAAAAAAGTATATTAGAAACTGAATTAATGTTAGGGTTTTTCCTGAATAATATTGTATTTATAAATGCATTGATAGCGATATATACAAAGTGGTCCATAATTTTAAGTTTTTCTTTGTTTAACATTTATCTGACGCACTGAAACCCTGTAATATAGAATCAAGATATGAATTGATAAAAAAAAGTAATGAAAAAATCGCTTATGTAAGTAATACTGTAAGCAAGAATTTGAGTAATGTGTTAGTACGTTATTCGAGGCTATCAGCCAGTATTGAAACTAAGAGACTTGTGTGATGTAAACATTCGATAAGCTATCTTGATTCTTCAGTGTTATTCTGAAAAGTGGGATATGTATTAGTACATCCCCACACAGATCTCATCTAGTATTCAGGCTACAGTAGTTTACATTTGGGTCTTGTGTTTACGAATGGATATGAGGACGTGTTCTTGTGAAGCAGCGTTATGCATCAACAAAGATATTGCTCAGGTATCGCATAGTGTGTTACACCGGTAGCCTTGGGAAGGGGGGTGTTTACCTGCGTCTGTCATCTCAAGGAATATATCATGTGTTGCAAGCCTGGCCATGTCAACAGTACGTTGTTGATAATGCGGATTAACATACAAGATGAATGTTGAGATATCTATGGTGATGGAAAATTAGTTTCGGTCATGGACAAAGCCGTGAAATGCCCGCGTATTTATTTATTTTTTATTTATTTATATATATAAGGGTTCTTACGTTCTTGTAAGTAGTTATGGTTGGTTATGTTGCCTTCACCATGATAGGTTTATGTAGAACGTGTTTATTCATGACTCTGAATTTGTTTTATATTTATTTAAACTTCGAGTTAAGATTATTGTGGTAAGAACCTTGACGTAGCGTGCTCCATGTTTAGACAGTAACAGCGAGATGACTGGCATGCGCCAACTCTGATTGATTTTTGTGAGTTTGTGAACGCAAACAGAGGACCTCTTAAATCTGCCACTTAAATTTTACGTGGAGAGTCTTTTGTTTACCAGTGTTCGTTTGGGGATTTCCAATATTTTTTACTGTTTCTATTCTCATTCCCCATAGCGTATGGTCTTTACTTTATATTTTGTACTTTGATTTGGTTTATATATTATGTCCCCCATATATTCTGAGCGGTGATGGAAGTTTTACACACTAAAAGGAGTTCATAACCCATTCTACCATCGCCCATGTGATGTGTTTGCGGTACACAATAAATGATCACACTAGGAATTTGGCTTATTGTTACGGAAAACAAGTGTTTAATAGGAAACCTCAAGGTAAGGAGGTAGGTAGAGGAGGAAGGAAGGAGGAGGAAAGTTTCAAGAGGAAACTAGATTGTTTCCTCCAAGGAGTGCCGGACCAACCGGGCTGTGGTGGGTATGTGGGCCTGCGGGCCGCTCCAAGCAACAGCCTGTTGGACCAAACTCTCACAAGTCAAGTCTGGCCTCGGGCCGGGCTTGGGGAGTAGAAGAACTCCCAGAACCCCATCAAGCAGGTATCAAGCAGGTAGGTAGCAACACATGCACAAATTAATTGTGATGTAGCTGGATTCAAGCAGTTGACGGTAGGTTTAACAAGTGACACATCTTGTGATAAGGGTGACTGATAAGATCCCACGAGGGTTAGGCTATCTATAATGCTTTGAGATGTCGAGGTTTCCAACTTAATTGAAGTTTCTGAACAATTACATGGTGTATTACTGAACTGTCTTAGGGGCTCATCTCTGCAGACTTGTGTTAGTGAGAGACTAGGTTAATTAATGCTCGCTTTTGGTACGTTGATTGTATAACAGATTTGGAAATTTGCAGAATAAAATTACAACATGCTGAATGAAGTGAAAGATATACCTGGAGTGGGTGCCAAGAGTTCTGACTTGTGATAGCTTAGTCAAATAGACTTGCTTGGAGCGGCCCGTAGGCCAACATAACTAACTACTGCCCGGTTGGTCAGGCACTTCTTGCAATATCTTATAAAGTGAAAAATACCACCATTGAAAAGTCGGGGTTCCATATGCACAATTAGAGAACACAGTGTAAACAAGATAGACTCACGATTCTTCAATCTCCTGCCAACAAATATAAGAAATATAGCAGGAACAAGAGTTGAAGCTTGGCTTATGGAACAGAAGAGCTCTCGAAATTGTCAACAGGTATTTAGCAGGTAATCAGGATGACGTCAGTGTGAGGAAGATACCAGTAGCGTTATGAGATAGTAGGCTCGGCCAAAGAATGATGTCACATTTAAATTACAATAAGGACATTGAGGGATAAATACACACAAAGGGATGAAGTAGCTCCAGCTATTCTCACCCCGTTATATCATATTAGTAGTTTCAGTATTAATGAGTGCTGAGATGAGGGGCTCATGATCTTGAATGAGTTGGGGAAGAATAAAAGGTGCATGCAATGGGTATGTTCTGATTGTGGGGATTTGGGACAAAAGGAATTTAAGGAATGATGGTGGTGTAGGCTTATAATCATAATCTTATCTTTACTCGCAGATGTTGACTTACGTGACTTCTGTCGTGATTAAGATCATTGACAATGAGAGAGAACTGGTATGAGTTCTAGATCCGATCCATGAGGGACTCTTGTTACCCAACACCAGACTCCTCACCCCTCACTATGACAATTTCATTTCAGCAATTTTCTCGCACATTTCAGTGCTCTTCTGTGAGAGAGAGAGATTGATTTAGCGTGAGTGAATGAGTCAGCGGAAAGTAGGTAGGTGAGAGGACAGAGAAGAGGTGGATATTGGTGGTTGCAAGGATGGGGCGGTTGGCGGTGTCCCCCAACCCTCCGGCAACATCTCCCAAGATGATTCGATTTTCAGCAGGACTGGCGGGCGGGTGGGCGTGCGAGGTGTGTTGACAGAGAGCGGCCAGATTGTTGACTTCTGGGGCCGGGCATGCTGCTCACACATCTTTACACTTACAAGCTGTGTTAGATCATTTACTCTTGATGCAATCTCGGATGGTTTGTTTTTGTTCTTTCGTGTCTCGAGAGATCTCACTCTTAGTTACACACATGACGCACTGTTTTTAATTGAAAAGGCTTTGTAAAACTCTTTAACACAGTATTGCATGTCTCCTTTATATTTTAGCCTATGATAGATAGTTTTGTTCATGTAGTCTATGATAGATAGTTTTGTTCTTGTAGCCTGTGATGAATAATTTTGCTCTTGTAACCTTAGATCGCTTTGTTCTTGTAACCCATGGTAGATCGTTCTATTCTTGTAGCCTTTGTTCGTTCTATTCTTGTAGTCTTTGATCGTTTTATTCTTGTAACCTATGATTGTTTTGTTCTTGTAGCCGTTTTAGATAGTTTTCTCCTGCTTGATGGTTTCTGGGAGTACTTTTACTCCCCAATCCCGGCCCAAGGCCAGGCTTGACTTGTGAGAACTTGGTCCACCAGGCTGTTGCTTGGAGCGGCCCGCAGACCCACATACACACCACAGGCCGGTTGGTCCGGTACTTTTTTTTTTAGAAAACAATCTAGGTTTCTCTTGAAGATGTCCACGATAGTTTCGGCAATATTTCTTATACTCGCTGGGAGGACGTTGAACAACCGTGGACCTCTGATGTTTATACAGTTCTTGTAGCCTATGATAGATGATTATGATCTTGTAGTCTATGATAATCATGATCTTGTAGCCTATGATAGATCATTATGATCTTGTAGACTATGGTAGATTATTATGATCTTGTAGCCTATGATAGATCATTATGATCTTGTAGCCTATGATAGATCATTATGATCTTGTAGCCTATGATAGATCATTATGATCTTGTAGCCTATGATAGATCATTGTGATCTTGTAGCCTATGATAGATCATTGTGATCTTTTAGTCTATGGTAGATTATTATGATCTTGTAGCCTATGGTAGATTATTATGATCTTGTAGCCTATGGTAGATTATTATGATCTTGTAGCCTATGGTAGATTATTACGATCTTGTAGCCTATGGTAGATTATTATGATCTTGTAGCCTATGGTAGATAGATTATTATGATCTTGTAGCCTATGATAGATTATTATGATCTTGTAGCCTATGGTAGATTATTGTGATCTTGTAGCCTATGATAGATCATTGTGATCTTATAGTTTATGATAGATCATTGTGATCTTGTAGCCTATGATAGATCATAGTGATCTTTTAGCCTATGGTAGATTATGATCTTGTAGCCTATGATAGATTATTATGATCTTGTAGCATATGATCATTGTGATCTTGTAGCCTATGGTAGATCATTGTGATCTTGTAGCCTATGATAGATCATTATGATCTTGTAGCCTATGATAGATCATTGTGATCTTGTAGCCTATGATAGATCATTGTGATCTTGTAGCCTATGGTAGATCATTGTGATCTTGTAGCCTATGATAGATCATTATGATCTTGTAGCCTATGATAGATCATTATGATCTTGTAGCCTATGATAGATCATTGTGATCTTGTAGCCTATGATAGATCATTGTGATCTTGTAGCCTATGATCGTTTTGCCCTTGTCGCCTCTTTTGCTTGCTTTGTAGTCTATGATAGATTTTGTTATTGTAGCCGTTGATAAATAGTTTATTCTTGTAGCAACCAATGATAGTTTTGTTCTTCTAAGCTATGAGATAATTTTGTTTTTGTAGCCTATGATAGGTCATTTTACTTTTGACGTAGGCTGCCCTATGGTGGGATAATTTTGTTCTTGATATAGCCTAGGTAGCCATTAACCATTGTCTTGATATAGCCATTAGGTTATGGCTAGCCTAATTATTTTGCTCTTGATTTGTTTTGTCTTGTGATGGGTCATACTCTTAATGGTGTAGTTTGTCATCGATAATTTTTACCTTTTGGCCTATGATTAATCCTGTTTCTATTAAACTATTAAAATCGGATCAATTTTATTGTTTACATTGCCAATGGTAGAATATTTTGGTCTTAGTGTAGCCTATGATGAGTAATTTTGTTTCAGATTTATTCTTCTTGAAAATGTACATAGTGCAGTTTACTGGTTTAAT